TACAATCCCTGCCGGTACCGAGACTCAAACCTTTGGGTTACAAGTGACCTTTGGGTTACAAGACCGACTCTCTAACCATTAGGCCCTGAATGCCCCAATGTACATAATTTATTAGCATGAACTATTACAAATAATAACTTGTACAAATAAATGTATTGACAAGCTTCCACAAATTTAATCAAGCAAGCTATGGCTTGTTCTGTACCTGTGACGTCGCCATCCTCCAGGTCACTGGTGTGCTGCGTGGAGAGGGAGGCGCTCCACCCACGAATGGATTTTCTCAGCTGCGGTGCCTGCAGATGCTGGTTGGATCCCTCTAAGCTTTCTCTTAGCTAGAACACAGGGCATGCTCTCAATACAACACCTTTATCTGAAATCAGAGACAATTCCATTTTGTGCTGTACCGATACTCACTGTCGCCATGGTTTCAGCTTGGTCATCTGTGTGTTCCTTATACTCCCCCAACATCCGATCTACTTTGTTTAAATTTCGACTTGTATCCTGCACAAAAGCATAAGCTTTTAAATTAAAGACCCCTGCGATCCCTATTCTACACAGAAGAGCCTTCACGTGCAATGAATAAAAACAGCTTACTTGTAGAGTGTTTGCTAAAGTGTCAATTTTGTCTGATATGTCTGATACACGAGTATCCCTGGGAAACCTGCTGTCAGGCCTCGTTCGGCGCTTTCTGACCCGCGATCGATGCCCCGTGGGTCTGTCATAGGTGTCAAATTCACTGGAGGAGTCCATGCTGTCATGAGCCAAAGGATGAAAATAAGAAACAGCACTAATCTGAAATCAGAAACCACCTGTACCAGTCCTCCTGACACAAGCATTATCATGTTTGCCTAGCTGATAGACGTGCGTAATTACAACTGGCGAGAAATGATTCGCTTAATTAAATGTTTAAGGCTGATTATCACTGGTCTATTTAATGAAATCGTCAATTTTATATAAACAAAGATGCAAACAGTCGACTTGTCACAGAATTGACGTTAAAGTAATCAACTTAGCTTAACGCTTACAGCTTTTTTTTTTTTGTTAAAAAGCCGTGTTCGTATGTATAATACAACACCAAAGCACAAAATTACAAGACACGAACATAAATCTACCCCTACCCGTGTGGCCAGCAGTTTGACGGTTATCTTGTGTGATCAATGTGAGGCAACGCCATCCTCAGCTATGGCAACTTAAACTGGCCGCCTAACAGGAAAACAACAAACGCTATGAATCATGGGAGTTGTAGTTTTGAAACACGCGCCGCACCTGTTACGTTTCAGAAAAACTCCTTCACATGTTATGTTTTGTTATATAAAATATTTAGATTTTAGTTTGATTTTCAGTTAGTATTTTTAGCTAATCATATCAGTGTGAATTAAAATTTTAAGGGAGGAAGAGATGTCCTGTTTCCGGGTGAACGATATTTAGAGTGCTTCCAAGGCGGTACTCTGCTGCAACATTCTGGCAAGGAGTTGTTTCATTTATGTTAAATGTGTATGTTCATGTTTAATGGTTTATATATATATATATATATATTATTCCTAATTGTTTAATTCCTATTCCTA